CCTGGCCCTGCGTGAGCCCTCGAAGTCCGCCGTGCGGCCACGACAGGCTGCCCTAACTTAACTCCCCAACTTGTGTAAAGCCCCTCGAGCCTACCTCTTCACACGCGTTCTCCGTACTCCAGCTTGGTCGTTATGCCTTTGAAAGTGCCGGGAGGCGAGTCGTTTTCATGCCGGCTGTGTGCCTACCTGGGGGCCTCCTGAGTAGTAAGGACAGACAGCGCCAAGGCCCTCGCGCCGCGGGCCGTGTGGAAGCAGCGTGCTGTGCGCGCTGGAGCAGGTTTGCTGCCTACCTGCAGCTATGCGGTCCTTGGCTCACTTCTTAGTCCTTCCAGGCCGGAGGTAGCGTGTAAAACTGCGTGGGACTAAAGGGTAGTTAAGAGGGAATAAATCATCTCCAACCTCGTCCAGCCTTTTCCGTGAGGCAGTACTACAGTCACATGTCAGGTACAGCCCCGACGGCGTCTCCGAGGTAGGGGAGCGGTGCAGGTGCCCAGTGTTCCCGAATGCTGCCTTTTTAAAAAACAATTATTTTATTAACTTCGTTTATTGTAGTTTGACCAGAGAGGGACAGAGTGAGGGGGGGAGGGAAGTGAGAAACCAAGCCTCCAAGTCCGGGGTCCAAGGGCAGCTTGCCACATGGGAGTCCAGTGCCCTTAACCACCAGGCTGCCTGCCAGGGCCCGGCAGCCGCCCCACCCTGCTTTCAAAATGACCAGCCAGTGAGACGCTGGAAGAAAAGAAAGCTGACCTAAGAGGGCAGGGTGGCACCAGGCGGGCCTTGCGGGGTGCGGCTGTCCCCGTGGGCCTGACTGCTGGCCCTTCTGCCCTCTATGGGCTTTGGGAAGTCTGCTTTCTGTGGCTGTGAAATCTGACTCCGTGTGGAGTAGACGGGAGGCATGGAGACATGGCCATGGCGCCTAGGTAGGTGCTCAGTAGGTGGTAGCTGCTTCTAGGGAGAAACAGAAAGAATTTCACTTGTTTTCAGGATAGTTCCGTCATGTGGAGATGGTTCATAGTAGGTATATTTTAATCCAAACTCTTATTAGCTTGGTTGAGATATTGCCCAGAAGGTCAGATTTCTCTGCGGAAAACAGGACTTCTCTGTACAGAATGAGACAGTACTTACCGGGTAGGAAAGGTCGAGGGTACCACGTGTGACGTGGGGACTGCAGGCAGTGACAGTATTGTGCGAGGGGACTTCCTACAGAAGTAGGTTTTACCTGCTCTGGTGACCAAGGGAACTGCTGGGCAGCAGACTCATGGATGTGTGTCTCTGCGCGTGTCCTATAAACATGCCACTGTTTGGAGTAAGACTCAGGACAAAGAGCAGATGGAGAGAAAGCGGGCAGTGACGCTGGAGGTGCTCGGGATTTACTTGGGAGGGGTGGGGCCACAGGAATGGCGAATGGCGGGTACTTTGAGTAGCTTACTTGCCACTGTCACTTTATGGCTCATCTGTGGGTCCCAGTAAGGGAGCGCTTGGCCAGAGGATTCTGTCCAAGGGTCGCTACAACCATCTTATTTAAGGTTTTTTTTTTTAGAATTAATTTTATTTATCATCATCATTATTTTAAGTTTTTGCTACAGGGCATGTGCACTCACCAAAGAGAAAGTGAGAAAGCAAGCAGCCAGGTCCAGGACTCAAATTTTGGTTGACCATATAGGAGTCAGGCACCTTAACTACCATGCCACGTTCTGGCCCCATGTCCTTATTTTGTGGCAGTAAACTACCTAAAGGTTGTTCAAGGGCTGATCTAACACATCATATCGTAAAATTCACTTAAAAAGCCCCTGGAACTTCAGGCCAGCTGGTGGCATGTGGTTAAGGAGCCATCTGGAGCCCACATTGCTGGCTGCGTGGTTCAAGTCCAGGACCCAGTGGCTTGAAAATCATGCTAGATTTTGTGTGCATGCCCAAAATCCCAAGAGGAGACTGAGAAGAAGGGATTGTGGCGTGGCCATCCTCCCTGGGGGGGTGTTTCTCTTCCTCTGTCTAGCACTTGCACCCTATAGCAAAAACTAAAAATAGTTCTTGGCAACAAGCTAAAAACAAGCGCTCTGTGTTGTAAAAGCACCCCTCGGCCTAGAGAGCGCTCAGCCTTGAACACTCCTGCACACAGCTTGCTCAGTTTCCTTACGTGCACGTGGAGCCGAGCAGCTGTGTAAAGTTTCAGTGGCTGACACAGAAATCCAGTCTGGCCGGTAGGCGACGGCAGAGCTCCGTGTGTGGGTTTGTGGGCGGCCTGTGGGTGCCCATCTGCTCTGACCCTCAGCTCCTCACTGCCATGGGCTCCTCGCTCACACGGGGAGAGCCACGGAACCCTTGTCCCTAGGACTACTCGCCTCATGCCTTACAGCCTTTGCCCTCGCTTTTGTTTTGTTTTTCCCTGTCTCATTTTTTTTAATTGTTAAGATTTAGAACAAATAGAAGTTCTAAGAGAATTTAAAACCATGTTTAAAAATGGAATAGGTTGGGGCCGGCAGGTGGCATGGTGGTTTAAGGCACTGGACACCCACATGTCTGACTGTGGTTCGAGTCCAGGACCTGGTGCCTTGCTTCCTTTGTCTCTCTCCCTCTCCGTTTCTCTGGTGAGTGCACATGCCCTATAACAAACTTAAAATAATACTGCTAATTTTGGGGGGGGATTATTTGGAATAGGTTGGGGCCAGCATCGTGGTGTGTTGGTTGAGGCACTGGATGCCCACATGGCCTTGAGTCCCAGATGCAGCTCCTTGCAGATCTCTCCGCGGTGAGGCTCCGGGACTGGGAACTGTGTTACCATTACTTGCACGTTACTAGCTCTGTTTCTTGCCCGTTTCCCCAATGAGGATCCGTCCAGGTCAGTATGCTCAGTACACGCAGCACCCAGCTGTCCAGACCGAGCGGCTGGTGGACAGGAAGTTCAGCCGCTCTGGCTAAAGGCCAGGGTCCCAGGACTTCAAGAAGGAGCAGCGTGGTCAGTTAGTGAGTCGGCTGGTGGGATGCTGATGGAATTGCAGGCTGGTTCTGGGGCGCAGGGGCTACCCCAAGATGTGCTGTAAGTGGCAGCCCCACCGCTGGGCAGACCGTGCTGCCCAGTGCCACCCGCTCAGTTTCGACTGCCTTAGTTCATCCGCAGCAGCATTTGGGGAGCCACTGTCTTCCCTATGGTCTGGGGGTTGAGCCCACAGGTGGCCGCAGCGGTGCCTGCACCGCCCGCACAGTGGCGCCTTCTGCTGGCAGAGCGATGTGCCGCCTGCCTCAGAGCCCCCTGCCCTGGACGAGTTCCCTCTCGAAAGCTTATACCCACGAGAAATTACGGGTGGGGACATTTTCACTTTCTTGGCACAGGTTATTCAGAGACACATTTGCAAAACTGATCAGTGCATTTGCCAGCTAGCCTTCTACATTATGCCTGTGTTTTTAGTCTGTAGAATTTTTCTTATCAGCAGTTTGGTTACTGTGGACTGTTGACTAAGGCTAGAAACCGTTTTAAAATACTGTTTTTTAAAGTTTGTTCTAGGGCACATGCACTCACCAGAGAGGGAGGAAAGTGAGAAAGCCAGCCAGCCAGTCAGGGACTGGAGCCACAGTCGGCCACGTGGGAGTCCAGTGCCCAACCACCACAGCACTCCTTGGGCCCCGGTTTTTTTAAACACACGACCAGAGTTTCCCTTACATGTGGTGAAACTTACCTCGTATCACCCGTCTCTGCCATATTGGAATATGCAGCTGGTAGGAAGATGAGTATTCACGAGGAACAGCGTGGGGCCTTCTCCTTCCCAGGCGAGAAGCGGGAGCGGGATGGCACGCACTGCGCTCTGCCCTGACGCCCCGTTTGTCTCCGCGCAGATCCGAAGACCGCCTCGCCTGCCGCGGCCAGCAGCCCCTGCTCCATGGTCGGTGTGACTCGCGGGAGCGGCCCACCCAACGAACGACATGAGCCAAGGCCGTGGGAAATACGACTTTTACATTGGTCTGGGCTTGGCTATGAGCTCCAGCGTTTTCATTGGAGGGAGTTTCATTTTGAAAAAGAAAGGCCTCCTGCGACTTGCCAGAAAGGGGTCCATGAGAGCAGGTGGGTGCTGCTGCGGGTGACTCTTACGCCTTCTGCCCTTCCTGCCTGGGGGTGGCCTTGAGACGGACTGGCCGGGAGCGCTGGGTGTTTGTGGACGCTCGGACAGGGGAGCCGTGAGGACGAAACGGAAGCTGAACTCATGTCCAGGTTAGCTAACCGCCCAGAGCGGAACAGGCCACTGCGCCGTTAGCCTCTGGCCTTGCTGGGCCCTGCAGTGCCTCTGTAGAGGGGGATGTGGGGTCTGTGGGAAGTCCCACAGTTGGAGAAGTTCTGCTCACCAACTGGCAGGAAGGGGAAGGCTCCCCTGGCCTTGAGGAGCCAGTTCCGTGCACTTCTCGGCGGTGCAGGTTGTTTCCCCAGAAGCTGCTGACAAGCCCCAAGTCCCCAGGGGTACGCAGTGTGACTAAACCACTCTGACACCTCTGTCTGGGGCAGTCGAGACGGCGCCCCGCATTAGATGACTCTGTGGTGGCCTCCCGTCATCCTGCCTGTTCAGTTCGAGGCCTGCTTGGGCAGTGACGAGTAGCACCTCCTCTCTCCTTCCTGTGCCGCTCTATGGCCACGGCCGACTCAGCGCGGGAGACACAGCAGCCTCTCCTGGGGTTGAGTGGACAGAGAATTGCCGGGAGCTGGTGCTTGTTCCCCACCGTCGCCCTCGGTCCAGGCAGGCACGCTCGTGCATGGTGGGCGTGCTTGGAAAGAGCCCACTCACCGTGGCTCCTCCTGGAGGGGCTGAAGTGCCGGTCACTTCCTGCCTTTATCGACTGGGTGGAGGAGAAAGCCCTGCAGAGGCCGGTGTGCACCCTGGCGGCCCAGCCAGGGCTCCTGCCTCCCACGTGGCTTATCCGCATTTAGGGTAACACGCTCGAGTGGGGCTACTGCTGAGTTCACAGGGGGAGGAAGTTTGGGTTGAATGGAAGAGATCCATTCCTTCTCTCAGGATCACAGCACAAGCCTGACTGGTTATAAGTACCCCCTTTTGTAGGGTTGTCGTGCATGTGCCCCAAGAAATCCCCTTCCGCAGGCAAGTACACATTTCAGGTGGTGGTCATCCGGGAGCTGTTTAACCCGCCCTGACGGCTGTCATTTTCGAGTCTGACGATCTCACAGAGACCTTCCTTCGCAGGGCAAGGTGGCCACGCGTACCTGAAAGAGTGCCTGTGGTGGGCTGGACTCCTGTCAAGTAAGTACAGAGCACCCGAGTCCCAGCTGCAGAGCAGGGCCGCTGCCGGTCCCAGGCTGCCTCGTGTCGCTAGCACAGTTTAAAGACTTAGAGAGAGCTTTCCTTGGGCCAGACAGTGGCATGGTAGTTAAGAGCTGGATCTCACACAGCCAGCCCTGTGGTTCAAGTCCTGGACCCAGTGGCTTGAAAAACACACTGGGCACACGTGCATGCGTGTCCAAAATCCCGAGAGGAGAGGAGGATGGAGCAGGAGGGGTTGCAACATGCCTGTCCCCTGCGGGTGCCTTCTCACTTGCATCTCTGTCTCTCTCTGGTGAGCACACACGTCCTGTAGTGAATTTACAACTTGTTTTCTTAATGAACAAAACTAAATATATGCTATTTAAGCCTAGAAAAGTCAAAGTCAAGGGAAGAAGGAAGGAACGGAGAGGAAGAAGAGCCAGTAAGAGACAGAATGCTTTTCTTCAGGGTTGGCTCCCCTCACTGGGTTGTGCTCGTTGCCCTCGGGTGCCGAGACCTACCCATGTGAAGTCTTTATTAAAACGCCCGATGTCAGTCAGCACGGCAGATTTCTGTCCTGGCGGACTTGGACTCTCACGTTGGTAACTCCCAGGAGACCCCTCCGGCTAGATGGGAGGGGATGCGGAAGTCACTGCGCACGGTGATGGGATAGGAGACTGCATGAGCGCAGGCGTGTCCTGGTCGAGCGTCTGCGTTGCTGTCTGAGGGTTGTCTTTTGTCATCCGTCTCCAAGTGGGAGCTGGTGAGGTGGCCAACTTCGCTGCATACGCGTTCGCACCTGCCACGCTGGTGACTCCGCTCGGGGCACTCAGTGTCCTCGTAAGGTAAGGCACTCCTCCACGTGTACGGGCTGTCACCTGCCCCCGTCTGGGGCGTGTTCTGTACAGTAACCTGTTTTAAAGCTCTCCCTCCGCGCATAAAGCAGCGGACTTGCTCTGTCTTGCTTGTACTCACAGCCAGCACTAGTTCTGCTTTTTTTAAAATGTTTACTGAACTTTATTTTATTTTTTTATTTTAAATTTGACCAGAGAGAGCAGGGAAGTGAGAAAGCAAGCTACCAGGTCTGGGACTTGAACCATGGTCAGCCATGTGGGAGTCCAGTGCCCTTAACTGCCTCACTGCCTGCCTGCCCATTAGTTCTGCTTTGATTTCAGTTTTTCTCCATTTATTTATTTATACGTTTTCTTATTTTTGATAATCGAATCAAGGATATTGCCATCCTCTTCATTTTCAACACAAGGTTTCCATTCTTGGGTCTGTTGGCGCGTCTCCCTTTCCTGTCTGACTGCAGTTTACAAGTCCCACTTGCACCTGTCCCAGCACCTACATTCGGCACACACGCCCTCCTGGGGCACACGGTGGCAGATGAGGCTTCTGTGCACGCTGTGGACAAGCCCTGGCCGGGCTGAGGGTGCGCGTCTCCACAGGCTGGTGCTTGCTCCCGTGCGCAGCCTGGGATGCGCCCCCTGCGTGCTGTCACGGCCAGCCCGATAGCTAAGCCCGTGGGGTGTGGGGTTTGGACCTCCTCCTGAAGTAGGCTAGTAATTACGTGGTTTCGTCCTCCCCTCTCCACGAGAAATTGTGGTGCAAATCTTGACCATTACACCAAACACACCATTATTTAATAGTATACCGTTCTTACAGATTGCGGTTTTAGATCTGGCTAAAACTAGGTATACCATATTAAAGCCTGATCATTTAATTACCGTGAGTGGGTGCACCAACCAGGAGTCCAGCCGAGCGAATGTTGAGGATTACTGTGGCCGTAGACCCTGACTCAGGCTTGTACAGATGAGTCCTCACTGTGAAGCTCACTGGCTTCCACAGGGAAACGGCGGGTGCCCGGGTTCGGTGCGCGAGGAAGCAGGTGTTCCCCGAGAAATGCCGATGGTACGGTTGTGCGTGCTCTTACCTTAGTTGGAGCCAGAATCTTCCTAAGCTCGCAGGGCTGGAGCCGGAGCTCAGTGATGTGCATGCTCAGCTGTACAGACGTCCTCAGTGAGCCGAGCCTTGCCTTGTCTTCTCCCCTCAGTGCCATTCTTTCTTCATACTTTCTAAATGAAAGACTGAATCTTCACGGCAAGATCGGGTGTTTGCTGAGCATCCTAGGGTCTACAGTCATGGTCATTCATGCTCCAAAAGAGGAGGAGATTGAGACCTTAAATGAAATGTCTCACAAGCTGGGTGATCCAGGTAAGAAAAAAGCTTTATTCTAAAAAGTTTACTTTTCCGTTGTTAATTGACAGTGTGCACTTGCACTCGCCAGGGAGGGGGAAGCACGCCCAGTGGGTTGTGGTCGTGTTGTAATCTCTTCTCCATTCCGCCATCCTGTTGCCATTTTGGGCTTGCATACACACATGCCTGGCCACTGGGCCCAGGACTTGATCTGTGGTCAGCTGTGTGGGAGTCCAGCAACATAATCACTATGCCACCTGCTGGTCCCTGGTAACACACTGTAAAATGGGTTCTGACAGTGCTGTGAGACCTGTGTGTGTCTTCACTAGTGTGGAGGAGCGAGCTGCCCTGGTCTGTGTCGACGCTCCCCAATTCCTGGATTAGGGTTCACGGTGCCCGTCCCACTTAGCGACTGCTCTGGTTAATGCGGTCTCTAGTGGGGAATCCCCTTTGCACTTCTGGCCTCACGCTTGCCATTGCAGCGTTTGCACTTACTCAAGACTGCAGATTTGGGGCCAGCAGGTGGCATGGTGGTTGGAGCACTGGACACTCCCACATGGCCAGCCACAGTTCAAGTCCCAGATCTGGTGGCTTGCCTTTTCACTCCCACTCTCTCTGCCTCTCTCCCTGGTCAAAGTAAAGTAAATGAATGAATGAATAAATGAAACTAATGAATTTTTTAATCATTATTTTTCAATTTTGACCAGAGAGAGACGACAGAGAGAAAGGGAGAGTGAGAAAGCAAGCCTCCAGTTCCAGGACTTGAACATGGTGGGCCCTGTGGGAGGCCAGCTCCCCAGATACCAGGCCACCTGCCAGTCCCAAGACTACATACTTATTCGTAGATTGGTTCTTTAATATGTAGTATCGGGTCGTCAGAAAACTGACACGTTTTTGCATAGAAAAATGTGAAAAAAATACATCGTGACTTTTTCACGACCCACCAGCAGTAAGTACACCAGCTGTGGTGGTGTGGTCTTGCCACTGACCTACCGCACGCTTTCTGAATGGGTAGAATCACGCTCTGGCGTGGTGTGTGCTGTCTACTGAAAACACCCTGCCAGTCCTGCGGCACAGCAGTGGACTGCAGCCCGTCAGCTGCCCCCTGGCCGAGCTGCGGAACCCGTGTGGGCCTGTGTTTAGTATTCCCAGACCCTAGTGGTTGGAGGTGAGGTGAGTATGGACTGGACTTCCAGCTCCCTTGAGTGGATGGCAGCTGCAGCCCTGCACGGTGGCTGCGTTGAGTTCTTAGATCCTGTGTAGGGAGCACAGTCCTGTCTAGGAGAGGTGGCCGAGTAAGGTGTCAGCTGGGGACAGCAACCTGGGAGCTGGCAGGTGGCGGGGTGGCTAAGGGCGCCAGACTCCCACATGGCTGACCTGCTTCGTCTTGGATCTGATGGCTTGCGCATGCGCCCGCTCGCTCTCTGTCCCTCTCCAGTCAAATTAAAATAGTGAAATGCCCTTGCCTTAGATGGGCGGCACACAGGAAGGTTACGGTGGTGGAGGCTGTGACGCAGGCAGAGGCAGGCCCCCCCGGCCAGCTGTCCTCACCACCGTCACCACCTTCAGGCACTCGGGTTCAGGAGGCAGGCCAGGTGGAAGTAAGCGGCTGCTCCAGCGCTGCAGCTGCACAGGGCCAGTGTGAGGTGAGGCGTGACGAGGCCGAGCGAGCCCAAGCTCTGCCTGCTCACCACGGCTGCAAGCCTCTGCACGTGTGCGGCTGGAGGCGCTGGAGAGCACCCAGGGCTGTGCCCTGGCCTTCCCCTTCTGCAAACGGGGGTTCCTTAGCACCCCGTTAGCCACCCTTCCGTGCTCACTCACTGCTCCAGAAGTCTGGAGGGCTGCTCTGGGGAAGACATCAGGGTGGGCAAGTATGGCTCCGGGGTCCTGAGAGCAGGTGGCAGGGCCCCATTCCGCTCCTGAGGTGCTGCTGCGTGCCCAGCATTTAGGGGTGAGGAGCTGAGCATCTCCTTGCAGCTCCCCCGGAGGCACTTACAGTCTGTCTTCTCGGTGTTCTCCTGTAGCTGGGACGTGCTGGGGGTCGGGCTGGACGCTCCAGAGTAGGCTTCAAACTGGCTAGTCCCCTTCTGAATTGAGACAGTTTCAACCTTTTCCTTCTCCCACTCGTGACTCAGCACCCCAAACTCGGCACTTCTGCTGTCACTGCCTCGTTCCAGGTGCCACCCTGCCCAAGCCTTGTGGACTCCCCTGCTGGAGAGGCCCACGATGGCCGTCCCACCGGCCGCCACCGCTCCCTCGGGCACGGCTGCTGGGCCTGCGCAGCGGGCTGACACTCATGGCCTCGCTCAGCACGGCTCTGCTTTGCTTCTGCAGGCTTTGTGGTCTTTGCCACCCTTGTGGTCATCGTGTCCCTCATACTGATCTTCGTGGTGGGACCTCGCCACGGACAGACGAACATCCTCGTGTACATAACAATCTGCTCTGTCATCGGGGCGTTCTCCGTCTCCTGCGTGAAGGGCCTGGGGATCGCCATCAAGGAGCTGCTGGCCGGGAAGCCTGTGCTGCGGCACCCGCTGGCCTGGGTCCTGCTGCTGAGCCTCGTGGTGTGCGTGAGCACCCAGATCAACTACCTGAACCGGGCCCTGGACATATTCAACACCTCCATCGTGACGCCCATCTACTACGTGTTCTTCACCACGTCCGTGCTCACCTGCTCCGCCATCCTCTTCAAGGAGTGGCAGGACATGCCCGTCGACGACGTCATTGGCACTCTGAGTGGCTTCTTCACCATCATCGTGGGGATATTCTTGTTGCATGCCTTCAAAGACGTCAGCTTTAGTCTAGCAAGTCTGCCTGTGTCTTTCCGAAAAGACGACAAAGCGGTGAATGGCGGTCTCTCGAGTATGTACGAGGCGCTGAATAACAACGAGGAGAGCGTGAGCTGTGGAACCGAACACACTGGTGAAAACGTTTCCCGGAGAAACGGAAACCTGGCACCTTTCTAGGAAGCGTCACTAAAAGGTTCACCTGTAATTCTGTTGTAAAGTGAGCCCGAATACCCGAAGGTCTCTGGAAAAGCATCGTCCTCCATAATGTTCTCTAAAGACAATCTTTTCTAAAGTCTGTCTAATCTGGACCAGTAATTACTCTCCTGTGTCCCCCTAGTGTCATTCGCTAGAATGACGGTAGTACGGGCTGGCTCCTGCTCAGCTGTACTGCTGTGGCGGTATTCGGCATTCTGAACCCTCACATCTAAATGCACTAACAACAGTCTCGAGTCTGAAAGTGATTTTTCGCATTGGCGACGGGAGTCTGAAATGTGCACCTGTCACCCCCACCCCGTCTGTCCCAGACCACGTACTGCTTTTTTATTTGAAAGGAGTTACCCGAATACAGTACCCTGTGACTTCACCTTACCTTTAAAGATGACTCCTGTTTGATGAGTTCTTTCCATTTTGAAATGTCGGTCGAAGGGAATCCTAAGTGACAATCATTTACAAAACAGACAGAAGGGTCAGAAAGCAACTGGAGCTGGCCTCCAGCAGGGGTCCCTGACTGGTGGCTACCTCTCTCGGGCGTGCCCAGAGGTGCACCTGGTAGCTGCCGGGCCAGGCACCCACCAGTTAGGAACCCGTCATGCGCGGGCCTCAACCACTGCTTTCTGTCAGCACCCACACGTTCCCACGATCGCGCATCGTCAGGCCTTTCAGCGACCCTGGGGAGTAACTGCGCGTAGCAGCGCCTGCACCTGCGTCCTCGCAGGCTTACACCTGCACCGCGGGCTCTGTACTGAGCACTCACTTCGCCTACGAGCGCACTTGGACCGCCGTTGGGTCTTTCAGGAATGTCCGTGGAAGGGACCAGCAGAAGGCCTAATAGTTATCTCACTGGACTCCCGTGTCGTCACACGGTTCAAGTCCTGGACCAAGCGGCTTAAAACTCTCACCAGCCATGTGTACATGCATGCCTCAGATCTTGAGAATGGAGAAGGGATTGTGATATGGCCATTCCCCCTCTGTCTCTGTCTTTCTCTGGTGAGCATATATCCCCTATAACAGAAAATCTGTTTAAAACTTTTTTTCATTTTCTTTTTTGTTTTCTTTTTTCTGTTGAGAGGTTTTTGCTATAGGGCTCGTGTGCTTACTGGAAGGACAGAGAGATAGAAAGTGAGAAAACACCCCCCAGAGGGGATGGCCACGCTGCAGTCCCTTCTCCATTCTCCTCTTCAGATTTCGGGCACACACGCACACACACACACCCAGCATGAGTTTAAACCACCGGGTCTGGGACTCAAACCATGGTCAGCTACATGGGAGTTCAGCGACATAGCCATTATGCTAACTGCTGGTCCCAAAATATTTTATTTTTTATACTATTTTACTTGATGTATCATTATTATTAATGATTTTAATTTGACCAGAGAGAAGGAAAGTGAGAAAGCAAGCTGCCAGGTCCAGGACTTGAACTGCAGTTGGTCATGTGGGAGTCCAGCACCTTAGCCACCATGCCACCTGCTGGCTGCCCCCCCACAAAAATCTCTTCTTAAAAAAAATGTTCATGGAGAAAAATGTTTACAGAAAGTTTCAAACAAGGGGCCAGCAGATGGCATGGTGGTTAAAGGCGCTGGATTCCCACATGGGTGACTATGGGTCAACTTAAAAAAAATTTCAAACAAACGTAAAAAAGGCAGAAGAGAATAACAAACTCCATCAAGAAGCAGACAACAAAATCCCGCCTGAGGCGGGCAGGGCAGGGCCTGTCCTGTCTGCTGCTCCTGCCCACAGCCATCTGCGCAGGTGACATCCCCACAGTTCTCTCAAGCTTCATCAGGCCACAGCTGGCAGCAGCCTCTTAAATGTCATGGAATAAGCTTCCCTTTCATCCAACTTTATTCTAACCCACAAAGGAGCAATCTCGGACTTTTCTTGCACTGTCTCCATGTGTGAAATTTCAATACCACACATAAACTACCTCTGCTTTGTACGTGAAGGAACCCCTCCCCTCTGGAGTGGCAGTGTCCTCCTGAGTACAGCAGTTAATTAACACTAATTAGCCAGCCTTGTATAGCCCTTAAAATTTATTACATTTGGTATGTAATTAAGCCTTATAAAACTCAGTGGTATAAACTAGTTCATTATCCATTTTTCATTATATTCCATGCTTGACAGGGTGAACAGACACCATCTCCTAATCCAGCAGAATGCTGGCTCCAGGTCAGTCATGCCACCAACAGCAGCATTTCTTTAACAGCTAGGTTTTCTTTTGTTTAATTCACTGTCGTCGTTTTACGTTTTTGAGGTTGACCAGAGATAGAGAGGGAAAGTGAGAAGCAAGCTGCCAGGTCCAGGACTCGAACCGTAGTCAGCCCCGTGGGAGCCCAGCCGCCTGGCCCAGCCGCATTTATTCTAAGGGAACACTATAAATAACTGTTGTCCCTCCACATTCTGCCACTCAAGGTCACGGGCACAGCAGAACAGCTCAGGTATTTATTTCCTGCACTGCGGAGGGAGCGCTGGGACTTCTGTGTAAGTTTCCCAAGGCGTAAGACGCGTTCCTGCTTCTTATGGAAACAGGATCGAGAGTTCGTAATATTGCTGCCGGTTCCAGCCCCTGCCCTGTGCAACCCCGCCAGGTGAGTGAGTAATGCTGGCCCCGGCTGCACCTGCACTCCCAGTGGCCGGGGCGACAGGTCCTCCCTGTCCGGCAGGAGTTTCGGAAACGTGTGGTCTGGGTACTTGAGTTCTCAGTTTTTACCCTGCAGGAGCCCAGCAGGAGCCCAGGCCAACGTCCCTTGTCCCTCACCGCAGCGGATCCTGGGGCCAGCTCCCCCCGGAGGTGGTGTCCGTGGCGGTCGGGCAGGACGGCTGTGGGAGGCAGGACCTGAGGTCTGGAAGAACTGTGGTGCAGAGCCTGCTGTCCCCGGCCACACTTGCCCCAGACGCTGGGCTCCTCCGGGTCAGGAAGGCACGCGGTGTCCTCACATGCAGGGTGGCCGGTGCAGCACAGCCGTTCCCTCACGGGCCTGGCTTTACTCAGCACCTGCAGAAACCTAAATGCAAAGCTCAACACGCACGCCCGCAGGCACACGGCCCAGTCCACCGCGTGACGGTGGCCCGCCCCCAGGGGCAGCACGGGATTGCAGTCAATGATGCGCACACGCGGATTCCATCTGTTTTATTTGTCACCCTTAATTCATACCTCGCAAGTTAGTTTTGTCACAACTGCATTTAGTGGTGCAGGGGAATCGAGGTCACCGTTTTTGGAACACTGACAGGAGGGACGGGGCAGAGAGAGACTTAGAACAGAGTGTTCATGAGAGACTGCGGGAAACATCCCGAACTAAGCTCACAGTCACCCAAGTTCAGTGGCAGCCGGCCCAGGACTAGTTCGGTTAGCTGCTGTTACGTTTCTTAAGGGCTGAGTGAACGCAGCGTCCTGCCACGTGGCTGCTGGAATGTTCCGTAGGAAAAGTGATTTCGTGAGACCGTAATGGTGACCATCAGCAGAGAAGTCCTCAGGCCTCCTGATTACCAAAAGCACATAGAACGGGAGTCTAGAAAAATAAGTCGATTTTATAAAATTCAGCCGGGCAGGTCGGTACTGAAAGCCGCTAAGTCTAGGTGCGGGCAGGAAGCACGCCAGCAGGAGCGGGGCTGCAGCGGCCTCAGGTGCTGGCCAGTGACTGGTGGATGGGCGGCTGGAAGCAGCGCACGTGCTCCACGGGCGTGCTCTCCCCGTCGCCCGACTTCAGGTACTTGTCCAGGACGGTGATGATCTCGTCGTTGAGAATCTGGAACTTGCGGATCCTCTCCACCATCTTCTTCAAAGGCTACAATTAGAATCGGCACGTCTTACTGCCGGCACCCGCGCTCATTCCCATCAGGACTCCGCAGAGCGCGCTGCACGTGTCAGGCTTCCACGCACGGCCGCTCGTCTGCACGACCAACGGGCCTGCGTCCTCACCCCCAGCCCGAGAACCTGCCCCGTGCTGACAGTTAGGAGTAGGACGGCGAAGGCGGCACGTCCGAGGGCCGAGACCCAGCTCGTAGGGCAAGGCTGCACCCCGTTGGGCGGTTGCATGGACAAGGTGGTCTCTATAAAGAACATTCCCAAGGGTGCTGCTGGTTTTGCCTGAGGGAAGGCAGCAGAAGCCAGTGCTTCCTCCTTCGAGGGGATAGCCTGGCCTGGAGGCTGAGGCAGCCCCTGGCTGAGCAGAGGCAAGTGCACACGTCGGAGTGAGGCGGTCTAGTACGGTCAACGGAGAATCAGGCAGGTGCGCAGACTAAAAGCTCAGTACTCGAGCCAGCAGACGGCGTGATGGCTATGTCGCTGGACTCCCATGTGGGACTGCGGTTCAAGTCCCAGACCCAGTGGCTTAAAACTCACCGGGCATGTGTGCATGTATACCTAAGATCCTGAGAGGAGAATGGAGAAGGGATTGTGGCGTGGCCGACCCCCCTGGGGGGGATGCTCGATTTCTGCCTCTCTGGCAAGTGTACACACCCTATAGCAAAAATCTCTCTTAAAAAAAAAAAAACAGCAAACAACACACAGGAACCTTGTCAGTTCCAGACACCCAAACCCTCCACGTTGCCTTCAGACACGAGAATGAAAAGGTTCAGAAAACAGAACACATGAAACGTGTAAAGAAATTAGATTTTTTTAAATAGTAAGACTACGAGTTACCACTAGGATTCAAAGAGCCAACGTGAAGTTTAAAAAACAGCGACTTTTTTTTTTGTTTTTTTTTGAGAGATTTTCACTGTAGGGCACGTGTGCTCGCCAGACCGAGAGAGACATAGAGACAGAAAGCGAGAAATCACCCCCCGGGGGGATGGTCACGCCGCAATCCCTTCTCCTCCATTCTCCTCTCGGGATCTTGGGCACGCACGCACACGCGCCCGGTGTGAGTTTTTTAAGCCACCGGGTCCGGGACATGAACCGCGGTCGACTACGTGGGAGTCCAGCGACAAAGCCATTACACTAACTGCTGGTTCCCAAAAAACAGCGACTCTTGAGAGTAAGATCTCGGGCCGCCCATGGGACGGCAGCGAGTGCTGATGCAGAGAGGCTGGGTCATCAACGGCAGCCCAGGCAGCCCGCGACCCCACCCCGCGGCCACGGTGGGAGGAGGGTGGGAGGACAGTGCTCCTCTCACGGGCCCGCACGCGCTTGCGCCGTCGTTAGTAACGGAGAAGTGGAGGCGCGGAGGTGAGCTAGCTGATGCAAAGCCCCGGCCGAAGGCAGTGCCCAGTCCAGCCCACAGCGCCGAGGAAAGGGAGGGACAGGAGGCTGGGGACCCGCAGATAGGAAGCAGTGCCACGTGACCCTGCAGCTCCTGGGGAGATGCAGGGCAGAGACGAGCAGCCATCAGCTCTGCCACCAAGATCCGCTTTGGGGACGAAAACAGAGCTTCAGACGGCGGTACCTCACGTACCAGGTAAGAAGCATCCCTGGAACAAAGAAGCTTTTCTATGTTTTTAAAGATTTTTGCCATAGGGCAAGTGTGCTCACCAGAGAGAGACAGAGACAGAGAGAATGTGAGAAATCACCCCCCTGTGGGGGACAGCCACGCTGCAATCCCTTCTCCTCCAGTCTCCTCAGATTTTCGGTGCACATGCACCCAGTGTGATTTTTTTTAAGCCACCAGGTGTAGGACTCGAACCGTAGTAGGCCGTGTGGGAGTTCAGCGCCTTGAACACCACGCCCCCTGCTGGCTCTGGACAAGTCTCCCAGAAATTTGCTACCAGGCATTTGCACTCACTGGGGAGAGGGAGGAGGGAGGTGAGAAACCTCCCTGTCGGGGTTCAGGCAGGCACACCAACAGTGTTTTCAAGCCCTGTGGACTGAGCAGCCTCCCCGGGGGCCCTGCCGCCTTCAGCCACCCCGGGGGCTCGCCCCAACGAAGAGCTGCGGACGAGGACGAGGACGGAGCGTGCTCTGGCCAGGACCCGCCCCGCCCCCACGCCCGCCACGTACCACGTTCTTGATGACCTCATCCTTGCCGTCGTGCTTCTGCACCTTGAGCAGGTGGTAGCAGAAGTCCAGCACCGCGAAGCGCCGCTGCTGCCCGAGGAGGACGATGACCATGCAGCCGGCCCAGTGCAGCCCGTCGCCGAAGCACTGCCTGGGAGCCAGAGCAGCGGTGGGTGCGGGCCACGGACCCCAGAGCCCCTGGCGGCTTCCTGCTTCCTCTAGGGTGCTGTCCCCAACCCTTCTCAGCACGTGGACCCTCCGAAAGCCAGACTGTGAAGACCCCCACCCGAGAACTGCACACCCACTGTGTGCACCTGCCACGGCTCAGGCCCCAAGTCCCAGTCCCGAATCCCCTCGGTGGCCTCAGGCAAGCGGCCCCGCTCAGGCTGGGAGCGGCTGGTGGCTCCAGCCCACAGCCAGAGGGGCATGGGGTCCGTGCTGCCTCCCTGCAGGCCCGCCCCGCCCACAGCCCCGGCCGAGCACACACTCACTCCACCGTGAACTCGTGCGTGCCCACGGGGATGCAGTAGACGAACTGCATGGCACTCCACAGCCGGTGGAACTCCACGCACTCGTCCACGTGCATCACCCCGTTGCTGGGCAGAGGCCCACGCCAGATGGGGTCATCCAGGAAAGTCCGGACCCGTGTCAGGATGACCTCGAACATGGACAGGCCGCAGCAGAGACGCTCCTTGGTCAGCAGGTCCCCCTCTCTCGCGATGGCAATTTGCTGCAGAAGGTTAAAGTGATGCAGTGCTGCAGCCGGGCGGGAGGCCAGGGCGGCGCCCAGCCCGGAGTCTGGTCTGTGACTTAGGGAAATGACCCGAGCACGTGGCCACCAGGTGGTGTGGAGGCTACGGCAACAGGAGTCCACATCACCAGCTACAGGCTTTGGGTCTTGGACCCGGCGGTGTGCGTGTGCACGCGTGTCCAGAATTCTAAGGGGAGAGTGGAGGAGAAGGGACTGTGATGTGACTATCCCCTGGGGCGAATGCTGTCTCACTTTTCTGTCTCTGGAGAGCGCACACACCCCATAGCAAATTTTTTTTTTTTTTGGAGAAGTCCCTTCTCCTCCATTCTCCTCTCGGGATCTTGAGCACACACGCACATGCGCCCGGCGTGAGTTTTAAGCCACCGGGTCCGGGACATGAACCGCGGTCGACTACGTGGGAGTCCAGCAATATAGTCATTACGCTAACTGCTGGTTCCCCCCATAGCAAACTTTTTAAAAAAGGTATTATCTGTGTCTGTCAAGATACTCATAGGCAAGAGGAATTTATACAGCTGAATGGCTTTTTTTTTAAAGGGATTTTTGCTAAAGGGCACATGGGCTAACTAGAGAGACAGACAGAAACTGAGAAATCAACCCCAGGGGGCATGGCCACACTGCAATCTCTCTCCTCCATTCTCCTCTCAGGATTTTGGGCACACACATGCACGTGCCTGGCATGAGTTTTAAGCTGCCGGGTCTGGGACTTGAACCACGGCTGACTATGTGGGAGTCCAGCGACATAACCACTTGCTGGTCCCGTACAGCTGTTCTTAACTCAGTGGTTCGGCCTGTAAGGGACCCTTGCCAACATCTAGAGACATCTTGGGTGGCCACGGTGTGAGGTGGGCCCACTGGCACCCAGCGGGTGAGGGCCAGTGCTGCTGCTGGACACCCTAGCACACACAGGCAGCCCGCCAGAGGATGTCCTACAGAGGCCCTCCTGCACGAAGGGAGGGCGTGAGACCCAAAGACGCCCCCTGTGTGCACCTTGTGGCAGGGGATGCGCTAGGCCTCCCAGGCGCCAGTTCATCACCGTCAGCCAGTGTGAGACGGGTGGGCCGCTGCAAACCCCACTGCGACACTAAGGGCGGCCCCAGCGCAGGCTGCGTGTGCGGTGGGGCTGACGGCCACTGTACCTGCGGGGTCCCCAGCCTCTCGATGAGCGGCACGAGGTGCAGGGGGGCGTACTTCGCCTCCAGTCGCTTCATCTTGGCGTCCAGCCTCTCGCCCTCTGGGGTGGAAGAAACGTTGGATTATGCAGTTCCTTTGCATGAAGGAGTGACCACAAGTTTAACTCTGCCTAAGAAATGGAGGCTTTTAAGTTATCATTATACACGTTCTCTTTAAGAATCCTTTCACAGAACTGGCCTGTCCTACCCACCCCTTATCCATTGTGTTCCGGCTTTGCCAGAGACCGCATGCTCACAAGAGACGGCGAGAGAGGGAAAGTGAGAAGGCCCCTGGGTGGCCCAGAGCCACCCCACCCCTCCCTTCTTTGGGGATTCTGGGCACGCATGCACATGTGCCCAGCGGGGCTCAGCTGCAAGGTCCAGGATCCAAACCACTGCTGGTCATCTGGGACCCAGGTGCCGAGACCACACCACCATTGGCCCTCGTAGTGGGTTTTTTAAAGAATTATTTTTAGAGATTCCTCCATGGCTCCTGAGAACTAGCAATTTCAGGGCAAAAAGAGAAATGAAGATTTTCTACTGATAATTCAGCCTCCAGTCCACAAACTCGAGTGGAAGGGAGCCCCTCTAGCCTTCTCTCTGTCTCTGTCTCTCTGTCTCTCTCTCTGCCTCTGTCTGTCTTCTCCTTTTTTTGGTAAGTTTTATTTTTTAAGGTAAAGTATTTTCTCAGCTTTCAGCCCCGCCTTTATCTTGCTAATAATTCCCTCTCCCTTCCCCACCCAGGAGAGGCAAGGGGCAGGTCCGATAGCACATTAAATACTAAGTAAAATGAAATAATTATTAAAAATGACATACAGCAAACCCCGCCACAGTAACAACCTGCTCCTAGCTGCTTCATTAACAGGCTGAGCATCCCTGATTCCAAAACCCCAAGTCTGAGATGCTCCAAACTCCAAAACAAGCTCCCGCAGGGTACCGACAACAGGAGCCGCACCTGCTCTCACGGGCAGGCCATTCCAAATGTGGCCACCCCAAAATGCCTGAACCCAGCTCCAGGCTGCGGCTATGAGGTGTAGACGTGGGTTCTTCCCTAGGCGATCTCACCTCGTGGATACGAACATTCAAAATGTAAGAAATCTGAAACCCGGAGCACTCGGGGCCCCAGCACCGCAGGTCCGGGGCACTCGCCCTGGTGTCTCGGCTGGGACTTTCCACTGCTCGACGCCCACGTACCGTGACTCTGGTCGCGACGGCCCGCCAGGCTCCACGTGGACTGGCCGCCTGGCGAGCACACGCCCCGCAAACACTCAGGCTCACCTTTCACGTGGACGCGTGGTAAGATGTTCTGGAAGGGCGCCGCGTGCAGCAGGTCACACACTTCTTCCAGAGACTAGGGCAGAGCGAGAGACGGTCACGAAGGAAGGGGCCTCCCCGCCAGGACAGAGAGCTGCTGGACGAGGCACGGCTCGGCCCTTCAGGGGACACGCGCCGCCTGGGACGAGGGTGCCGTACCTGTGCATGCGCACTGACAGCTGCCGGCCACGAGTGTGGTTAGGTACCTGAGCATGGCTGGGGCCCGGGAGGAGCCAAACGTCATGGCAGACACGGACATGGACCAGCTTCCACCCGGAAGGCGGGTTCGGCTTCCAGCCTCTCCGCGACTTGGCGGACCCACAGTCCAGCGGGAGGAGGCAGCCCCGGCACCCCCGGGGAGATGCCCCAAGCCTGTCCCTGGACCACAACTCCTTCAGTTCAAAAGACCCCACAGCAGCTGGGGGAGGGGGTTTGCCTCAGCTCATGGGCTTGCAGGACCCCAGAACCCCTCAGGGCCCAAAGGTGATCCCATTCATCTTTACAGCGGTAGCCCGGGGCTGCGGGGGCGTCTCAGCCCGCGATGCCATCAGCCCCAGCAGGCAAGAGGCAAGGGCACAGGCAGGGCTGCCATGCCCGCCCCGACACGTCTGCATTCCAGAGGTGAGACGACCGAAGCAGGAAACCCAGAACATACGAGAACCACTCGGCCGGAAAGGCGCGGGCAGTGGGGACCCAGAGGTGCTGGGCCAAGCTCGCCTGCCTTGACTGAGCGCGGCACCCTCTTGCCCAACTGTCAGGGGCTCCTCCCCTCTGCACGCACTGGGCAGGGCGATGGGTGACACCCCATGGGTCCTCCCTTCCTTGTAAATGCTCACAAGGCGGAGGGAGAGTGAGCATGTGAGAAGCCCCCAGCGGCCCTGGTCCCACCGCAATCCACTTTCCCTCATCATCCTGTCAGCGCCCCGGTGACGTGGGTACACCTGCCACGCTTCTCAAGTCCGGGGCCGGGACTCAAACCCCCGTCAGCCACGTGGGATCTGGCTTCCTCTGTGCAGTGCCTAACCACTGCCCGGCAGGGCCAGCCCAGGACTGTGTACAGGGAGACAGAGGAACTGCAGTGGGGACGCAGGCCTGGGGAGCCGGCCCCTACGTGGAGGCCACGGCTGCCCCAGGTTCTCAAAACCATCACCGCTGTCCTCAGGAAAGCCGGGGGGACACCGGTCTCAGCTGCAAACAGGAAGATCCTGCTCGGAGCAGACTTTATCAGGCAGCCCTGCCCTTCCTCCTACCGGGAGCCCGCGCAGGTGCCAAGCTGTACCCTTTACCACTTCTGAGACCAAAATAAGGCCCTGGAAGGGGTCGGTGTCCAGGGCCTTCCCCGCTGTCCTAGACATGGCAGGCCTACATGCAGCCCCTGGGCTCAGAACGAGCCCTGGACACTGGGTGCAGCCCTAGGGCTCGGAGTGAACCCCAGACAGCAGACCTGGGCAGAGCCCCCTAGGGTCAGACTGAACCCGGTATGCTGGGCCCGGGTGCAGCATCTGGGATCGGGGGGAGCCCTGGGAGCCCCACCTTGCTGGCCTGCTGGGAACACCACTCGACAGAGCTCCCACTCGCCTCCCGCACATGAGCCCAGGAGGGAGAGGCTGCTGGCAGCCGGAGAGCTCCCCACAGAGCCAGGGGTGCTCAGGCCCCGGGCACGGACCACTGCGTCCAGCGGGAGGGCGTGCTCTGCAGCGGGGACGGCGCTCCTGACTCGTCTTTCAGAAGCGCTCCCCAGGCTTGCAAGCGTGGTGTCAGGCGACAGGGTGACCGGCACTGTGCCTGTCACTTGGGGAGTCATCACGGGATGAAGACGTGAGGCCGGGCCCGCAGAGAGAGGAGAAAGCACGTGGACCTGGAGAGCCCCGTTCCGAGGCGTCAGACCCACAGGGCTGCAGGGCCATTTGACAATGTCCGCAGCTCCTTTGAGGGATGGCGACAGCAGGGCTTGGGGATCTGGGTGGCCAAGCTCACGGTGGCTCAGGTGCCCCTCTTCCAAGGGGCTTTGACCTTGCAGTCCCCACCCAGAGGCCAGCAGGTGCCAGACAACCGCACAATAGGCGGGGACTGACGGCGAGTCCACCCCGCTGGCCCCAGCTCCTGTGGCTCAGCGGTGACAGCACGTCCACAGGGGACCTGCATCTCTTCCTCTGTGGGCAGGCGAATCCCTGCCAGCTCCGCAGTCCCGGGAAGGACAGCGGCAGCAGCAGAGACGCTGGCCGGGTGCCCATCCTTCGTGAGTCAGGGCCACCCGCTGCCTCCCACTGCGGGGCAGCTGCCTGGGGTCCCCACTGAGCCCAGGAGATGGGGACAGTGAGGGCTGTGGTGTGGCCGCAGCGTGGGAAGGTCTACCTCGGACCAGAGGGATGGAGGAAGCCATGGGTCCCAGCGGCCTTCTCCATGCCGGACCTCAGATTCCTGACATGTGCCACCACCCTCTCTCCACACATGTTCATGTAAGGCTCGGCCCAACAGGCCCGGCAGCCTGCCTGCGAGGGGCGCCACGGCACCACCTCCTGAAACACGATGTCCTCCACGAAGGCCGGGTCCTGGAGACGCCAGGCCACTGTGGGCAGCAGCGTGGTCAAGGCCACGTGCGAGGCCACGCCACCCACAGGCTTCCTGCTCACGGGTGAAACGGTCAGCTGTTGTGATGTCCGGGGACAGAGGAGCAGGCCAGGGGACCACAGAGGAGCAGGCCACGGGACCACAGAGGAGCAGGCCAGGGGACCACAGAGGAGCAGGCCAGGGGACCACAGAGGAGCAGGCCAGGGGACCACAGAGGCCTCCAGCCTGGAACCGAGGCCTGATCACCAATCAGGGCACCTGAATCTACTGAAATTGAGGCGAGTGGAAATTCACTAAAACGCAGAAACCGGCTCCTCGGCCACACCCAGCCACGGTCACATGCTCTCGGCCACGGGCCTGACACTGCACGGGGCTCCTGGGGCGGCCACGCTCGCGGGACGTCCCGGTTAGCTCGGCCATCGGCACTGTGATGCCCACACATCACACTGCGCCCCTCGGTCGCTGGGGCCAGTTCCCGTTAACGCCCGGCGGGGGCGCACCAAGGGCAGCTCAGTGCCAGCCACCCCGCGGCCCGGCCGGCACTCACCAGGCTCTGCTCGATGAGCAGGCAGAAGAGCACGGCGTTGCCCACCTCCCGCAGGCTCTGGAAGCACACGGTCTTCAGCTCCGCGTACTCCACGATGTCCTTCAGCTGGTGGTGGAAGAACTCCAGGATGCCTGCGGGCAGAGCCAGGGGGTTGGGGGCCTCCTCGCCACGTGGAGCCCGTCGCCAGGCAGGCCGTGGTGGGGACTAAGCCGGTCCGGGAAACGGAACTGCGAGCGTGTTCACTTTGGGGGAAAACGCCGACGCCCACGCTCGGCTTTTCAGAACGTGCCCCGAGAGACCGCTGTGCCGTGCCTGCGTGGCCTGCTGCCATTCCCGACGACGGACAGAAACGCCTCTGAGAGGCTGCCCCATAGTCCCTTCCCGGGACCGAGGACGCCTCCGTCCCCTCAAGCACCAGTGACCAGGGGTGTAGAAGCTCGGCCTCACCACGGACCAGCCCTGGACGGCCACCCACGAGTGGACGCGGTCGCTGAACACACACGACTTGTGTCGTTGCCCGGCTTTTCAGAAAATGCTCAGACGAGGCTCAGGGCAGCGTGACGTGTCAAGGGCCCCTGCAGTCCCACTGGGAACAGGGGCACTTTCCGAGCGGTAAGGCTGTCTGGGTAGCTGCCACCAGCCGGCCAGCCGTATGGCCAGGCCCGAGGAGCACAACCGCCCAGCAGAGGGAGCCTAAGGACTGTCTGGACAGGTCGGGGGGGGGGGGGCGGGGGGGCAGGGCCACCAGTGAGCCCCTACCCTGCCTGGGTGGGGACTTCTCGTCAGAGTTTGGGGGGTGCACGGTGCTCCAAGCCCCATCGCCCCTCGACACCTAACCCTGGACCCCCCGGCTTCCCCACCTCCCGTCAGAGGCCCCAGTACCCTTCCCAGAGGCAGGCGTCACCGGCCTCCCACGAACACTCGGGGTCTGGTCTGCACATGCCCACCAACCCCCAGGGCGCGGCACGTCTGACCCTCCCCCGGCCCAGAGGAGCGGCGGCCCACACTGACCGGGAGAGCCGTACTCGTGCCGGGGCAGGCGGCAGATCTTGGGCATGACCTCCATCAGCGTCTTCACGTACTGCAGGATCGTGCCTTGCAGCTGCAGGGAGACAGCGCCACAGGCAGCGCATCAGCCACCCACCGCCACCTCCCCGGGGGCCACGCCTCGGCCACAGGCCTCCGCCCTCCCAAAGGCCCGACATGCACGTGACAGAGATGAGTCTGCTGGTCACACATGCGACAGTGCCCAGGGCTGCAGGACGTCCGGGCAGGAGAGAGAAATTCCACCCACGGCACGGGGACCCTCGCCAGGTCTTTGCAGGACCGACTACATTCACATTTTAAAACACGACTCCCCTTGCAAGAGGCTGGAAGCCCCAAGCTTGACAGGGAGGAGGTGGGACAGGGGACTCCATGACCCTCCCACGTGGACTCAGCATCCCCACCGCAAGCACCAGCCGCCCCAGGGAACCACAGCTCTCCCAAGGCAGTCTGGGTCGTCCGACAGATTCGGTGCAGCTTTGAGGCAGGACACAAGGTGGCTGAACCCCGCTGCGGTGAGGCCGGCAACCTTGCCCTTCCACTCCCGTGTGCTTTGGGGCAGAATCCCCAAAGCTGGGGGCCCAGGAGGGATGACCAAAGACTGCACCCTGACCAGTTTCCGATCCCACCTATGTGCTCGGCTGCTCAGCTTCTAGGAGCTATGGGGTTTTGTTTGGTTTTTGCCAGAGAACTCATGTGCTTGCCAGGGGCAGAGATCGTCCCACCACAACCCCTCCATCTCTCCTGCAGGATCCTGGGCATGCACATGTGCTCTGGGTGTTTCTCAAGCCACGGGTCCAGGACTTGAACCCACAGTCACCTGTGTGGCATCCAGCTAGCCCCCGAAATCTGTGTTTAAGCAACTATTTCACGAGTGGCAACGGGAGCTCTGTAGAACCATGCCTCCCCAGGCACTGGCCAACTGGAACAGGACGGGACACGAGGAACGGGTGGGCGGGCCGGGCATGCAGCCGTGGCTCCCTCCATGCCCTGGGAACAGCCAGCTCCTTTACAGAGGAGGAGGCCACCTCGGTACAGAGGAGGGGGTGATCTCAGTACAGAGGGGTCTTTAGAAAGCTCATGGGAAATGCATATTACAAGAAGAGCCAGTACGGGGACCAGCAGTTAGCGTAATGCAGAAAGCTCGTGGGAAATGCGTATTACAAGAAGAGCCAGTATGGGGACCAGCAGTTAGCGTAATGGCTATGTCGCTGGACTCCCACGTAGTCGACCGCGGTTCGAGGCCCAGACCCGGTGGCTTAAACTCATGCCGGGTGCGTGTACGTGCGTGCCCAAGATCCCGAGAGGAGAATGGAGGAGAAGGAACTGCGGCGTGGCCATCCCCCCTGGGGGATGATTTCTCGCTTTCTGTCTCTCTGTCTCTCTGTCTGGTGAGCACACGCGCCCTATAGCGAAAAACCTCTCCAAAAACAAAAAAAAAAAGAAGAGCCAGTACGGATTTCAAATTTGTTTTGCACCAAAATACACTCGCATTTTCATTCCATTTCCCGCCCACGTTTGCAAGTCCCCTGGGTGAAGAGTGGCCCTCGCTCACGGGGCAGACGGCACCGGGTAAGTGACAATGCCTGGGGACCAGTTCGGGGCCAGCTCCAGCCTCTGGAACTGGGAGAGATGGGGAGAGACCGAACCACACTGGCAGGAAGGTGGGCTCGCCAAATGGCCTCATCTGCAGGGGTCATCATCCAGGCACGGGGGAGTCCCGGGGGAGGCCCGGCCTGCCGCCTGGGCACGCGCATCGCAGGCAGGACACTGTCCAAAGGGACTCACCAGGCTCTTGACGACCTTCAGCAGCTCCTCCATGACCACGGCGATGCCCTGGTAGCCCAGCAGCCGGCAGATGACCTGGAAGTGCGGGGGCCCCACGAAGTTCCGGTAGCTGCTGTAGATGCTGGAGTAGGCCAGGTTCAAGGCCTGAGGGCGACGGATGGAGTTTAAGGCAAGGCCCAGCACATGCGCTGGTGGAGAAGCACCCGCAGACTCACGTCCCACACCCACGCCGCCCCGGGGGGAGGGGGCCCTGTGAATTCTCTGTGAAAGGCACTGTCCTCGCTGCTGGGGGGGTCTGTGCCCTGGTACGAAGAGAACCTGCTCAACTGCAGGGCGCCTCGATGTTTCCCCAGCCGCCCACCCACGTGCGGTCTGCCCAGGACCCCGAGTCTGTCTCGGCCCTCGCACTGCCTCTGTGGGGCTGCCCGGCAGTAGGGAGCTGGCCAGGACACCCCCACAGGCCTGCTCGGGAGTGCAGGGGCACCCTTGGGGCCAAGGAGAGCTGCCCCAGGTGGCAGGAGAGAAAGCGGGGAGAACCTGCTGAAGGATGGGCCTGTGAGCTCGTCTAAGGACGCGGGCGTGCAGCAGGGCGCCGGGCGGGCGCTCAGTGCCGCCCACTCCCCAGGCACCTTCAGCAACCCCACGGTGTTTATCCTCTGCTTTCGCTACAGGGCAAGTGTGCCCATGGAGACCAGGACAGAGAGAAAGGGCGCGTGATCAGTCGCCCCCGGGGATGGCCACACAGCAATCCCTTCTCCTCCATTCTTCTCGTGGGATTTTGGGCATGCACACGTGCCCGGCGTGTTCCAGGACACTGCGCCTGGCCCGGCGAAACCAAGTCGGCCATGTGGGACCCACTGTCTGGACCTCCACACCACCTGCCCCCACTTCTTGTTTAAAGACAGGGTCTCACTGTGTTGCCCAGGGCCAGCCTCGAGCTCGCGACCCTCCTGCCTCAGCCTCCCAATGTCACTGGGATCATAGGTGCATGGCACCACACCCAGCCTTCGGGATGGATGGAAATCCCGCGCCCTGTCCTCGAAGCTCCACCACCGTGGTTGTTTTCTTAAGTTCGTTTTTTTTTTAATTATTTTATTTAACTTTATTTATTTATTTGTATTTTAATTTGACCGGAGAGGGACAGAGTGAGAGATGGCATAGTAGTTAAGGTGCTGGACTCCCACATGGCCGACTGTGGTTCAAGTCCTAGACCTGGTAGCTTGCTTTCTCCTTTCCCTCTCTCTGCCTGGTCAAATTGAAAAATATGATAATATATAAAATTAAATAAATCTTACCAACAAAAAAAGAAAGAAATCTCTCCTTTGAGCAAACCATAGAGCTTAAGAAATTTGTTTAACTTGCAAGCGTGCTGTGTGCGCAGACAGACGGACCCACCTTGGACCCATGCAGATACTGGGGCTGTGCGTTTGGCTGCTTATCTCTTTGAAATTCCTGAGAGAAAGGTAGTACTGTCCGAACAAACCTAGACCAGGAAGATCGAAAAAGGAGAAATCCGATTTGACGGTCGTTCTTTGGAATTCCTGCCGGCCCCAGTTTAAGGATCTATTTTTCTAAATTTTATTATTATTCTATTGTTATATTTAACTTCGTCACCCAGCCACTGAGTCTTCTCCCCGGCTAACTGGTACAATCATCGCACAGGGAAACTCTAGGTCCAGAGCCACGGAGCGTCACAGACAGACTCTCACGATGAAGGACCCAGACCCCAGGAGCCAGAGCGAGACGCCCAGACACACGAGGTCTCCGATCTCAGGAAGTCGGGCCATCGGCAGACGGCGGGCACTGGTAGGGGAGGGGCACTCGTCCTTCCGGCCTCGGGTCAGGGTGCTGATGGCGAGGAGAAATACCAGCCGCGCCGGCCCCGCCCCAGCTCCCCGCCATGGCTGACCCAGGAAGAGCAGCAATTTGGTTAGGACGCTGTGCCGACAGAGGGCATCTGAAATCACGTGTGCAGGGTTTCAGGCAGACTCGTCAGACTCGGCGATCGCTTCCCGGTCAGACGGGCCATTTACATATGTAACAGCGCCAAGCCCCCGCTGGCCCCTCGGACGTGAAGGCCTCTGCGGGCGGCCCTTGGCTGAGCGATGAAGGAAGCCAGGTCCCACGTGGCTGCCCATGTGGTTCGAGCCTTCACCTGACAGCTTAAAAAGCATCCCAGGGTACGTGCGCCCCAAATCCCGAGAGCAGAGCTGCGTGTGAGCACATCCCACGGGGTGCTCGCTCCCTCTCCCCCGTTCTCTCCACGGTGAGCACGTGTGCCCTCCGGTGAGCGTGAGCGTGTACATATGTTACACTGTCGAGAAAGTCCGCCGTGTGCGTCTGTCTCAGGGACAGAAAGTGAGAAATGACCCTCTAGGGGGATGGCCACACTGCAATCCCTTCTCCTCTTGGGATCTGGGGCACGCACACACATGCAGCTGGCATGAGTCAGGAGCTTCTGGGTCCAGGACTCAAACCGCGATCGACCACGTGGGAGTCCAGCAATGTAACCATTATGCCACCTGCAGGTCCCCGTGACATGCTTTTCTTTGCGAAAACAGAAACGCGGTCTGCGTGACCAGCTCATACCGCACCCCACTGCAGGACGAAGGCATGTCCGTGGAGACGCTGCGGCACACGGCGCGGTGCATCTGCGGGGAAGCACGTTACCGACAGGTGCCCGGGCCAAAGGGCAGCCGGCCAGCTGCCCACCTCGGTCAGTGGCTCTGCTGTGGGGCTGTCCGTGCCCGGCTCCAGACCACCTAAAGTAACGCCCGCAGAAAGCCCCGTGTTCTCTCCTGTGAAAGTCTTCAGAAGGGCCTGGGTGACTGGAACACGACAGCCCTGGCAAACCCACACGTGAAGTCGTGTGAGCGCCTCTGGCAGCAGGTGGTGGAGGCCACGGACCCTGCTCAGTACCTATGATGGGCTGGGCCGGCCCCAGAAGCACAGCAGAGGCTGGCTGGGGAAAGGCCCTTACTACACCGCAGAGAAAAGACGATGCTCAAAATTATGCAATGAAAACCTTCGAAGGAGGGACCAGAATTTGGAGTAACGGCTATGTTGCTGGATTCCCACGTAGTCGACAGGGGTTTGAGTCCTGGACCCAATGGTTCAAACGGTTGGGCGTGTGTGCGTGCGTGCCCAAGATCCCGGGAGGAGAAAGGACTGTGGCGTGGCCAGTCCCCTGAGGGGTGATTTCTCACTTTCTGTTTCTCTGGAGCGCACGCATCCTATAGCAAAAACCTCTCCAAAAAAAAAGAAAGAAAAAGAAAAAGGAAACCTTTGAAGGAGCCAGGGCTTCTGTTTTGTTTTGTGTTTCTGTTTTTTTTTTTTTAAGAGAGATTTTTGCTATAGGGTGCATGCGCTCGCCGGAGAGACAGAGCGAGACAGAAAGCCAGAAATCATCCCCCTTGGCAGAGGGGGGCCAACGCCACAAACCCTTCTCCTCTAAGGATTTTGGACACGCACGCGCACACGCCTGGTGTGAGTTTGAAGCAGCTGGGTCCGAGACTCCAGTCGTGGTCGACTAGATGGGGGCCCAGCGACAAAGCCACGTACCATCTGCTGGTCCCGGTTTGTCACATTTGTCACAGACAGAGGGCAGGCGCGCTCAGCAGGGGGAGAAGGCGCCCTCCATGGGACATGGCCACGCCCAGTCCCTCAGCCCATTTCTATGTCCTGTTGGGGTTTGGGGCACACACGCACACGCCACTGGGCTGAGATTCACACTGCAGTGAGCTGTGTGGGACCCGGCTCCCCGCACCACTGGGCCACAGGGCCAGCCCCACACAGATGGCACTGCCGATGTCGGCTGGTGCTGTCCACCTGCTCGGGCTCCTCCGAGGTGTCCACTGGCCGCGCTGGCCTGGGAGAGACTTGGTGACCAACCAAAGCCAGGAGGGTCCTGAGAACGTCGGCCGTGAGCGGCACTGTTCTCGGAGGGCGGCACGGGCAGGGAGTGCCTGCGCTAACGCGGAGCAGCCTCACGATGTGCATGCGACTGGAAAAGACGGGCAGGCGGGTGCCCCGCGACCTCGCCATGTGCCCACGTGTGCCCGGCCGCCCCACCGTATGCACGGACACGTTCGTGTGTCGCGTGCGCAGGGACTGTGCTCGGTCGCTCGGCGCCCTCACCGGTTGGTGGAGCCGTTGTAGCAGTAGTTGGGCAGGAAGTCGTAGTTGAGCTCCCAGAAGACGTGGAGGGTGATCCTCCCGTAGGGCGCCGACACGTTGTGGTTGGCTTCCCGGAACATGGCATCGAAGCTGTCCAGCGTCAGGTACCGGCTCAGCAGCTTGTGGGTCATGCGGTTGATTTCCAGGAGGCCGTCGAGCTCCTGCAGGGCCAGGGTCAGGGCCAGGCAGTGAGGACAGAGCTGCCAGGCAGGAGGGGCCACCCTCGTCCCTGGGGGGCCCGGCGCAGTAAGGGGCCGAGCACTAGGGGTTTTTGCCATAGGGCATATATACTCCGGGGCTGAAAGAAGTGAGAAATCCCCCGGGGGTGGCCCTGCCTCAGTCCCTTCTCTGGTCTCCTCTTAGGGTTTTGGGTGTGGACACCAATGTACCAGTGGTCAGGTCCAGGGCTCGAACTGCACACTTGACCACATGGGATTCAGAGCCTTAACCACCACGCCACCTGCTGGCCCCAGTTTAAGGATCTTTTTTTCTAAACTTTATTATTATTATATTTTTAATCTGACCAGAGAGAGAGGGAGAGGGAAGGTGAGAAAGCAAGTCACCAGGTCCAGGACTTGAACCGCAGTCAGCCACATGGGAGTCTAGCACCATAACCACATCAGCTGTTCGCCCCAGTTTGGGTGTTTTCTAATGCCCTGATTTCTGTTCCTTAACCCTGTTTCCTCGTGTTCGAAGTTCTATGCCACTGTCCATTCCATTTTTTGTTTTTGTTTGTTTGTTTGTTTTGGTCATAGATTCCAGTTCCCTGAAGAAACTCTCCCTCTCTCCCTGTGACCGTCTTTCCATGCAGCCTGAGTGAGCGGATCTCACCACAACTACAGCCTGGCCCTGGGGCGCAGACCTGCTGTGGCCACGGCCTGCCTCTTAGACCTAGTGCTTTTTAACTGAAGGCTAAACATTCCACGTTTTAAAAACCGAGGAGGTGCCAGAGCGTGTTTCCAGAGGGCCCATTGCCTGCACCCTGGTCCCACCAGGTCTGAGCAGGGCCCAGGTAGGCTGCGGTTCTGGGAGCCATGGCGTGCCTGCCTCTAGCGTGGCCTCAGGGAGGCATTCAAGTAGGTGCCCTGCCGGGCCCGGAGTCTGCTCTGTTCCCGGAGGCCTGGCCGCTGTGCTCCAGGGCTGCGCCAGAACCTGGCAGCCTTCCCCAGTGGGATGAGCACCACTGAGAGCCCCTCGAGGCCTGGCAACTGCCCAAGGCCCTGCAGTCGGGCCCCCAGCAGGGCCTGTGCCTGGGTGCCGCCTGGATCCCCAACCTCCAGCCTTGGCCGTGGGAAAGGAGAAGGACCCCGCGACTGCAGCACTGCCCTCGCCCCTGCGTCCCTATCATGTCTCCCACCCAGCCACGTGGCCGTCCTCGCAGGGCGGCCGGCCTATATGAGTCCCCAGCGCTGCAGCTGGGGGTGAAGGTGCCGGTCAGACGGTGTCAGGGCTGGCCTCGCCACCACGTGGGAGTCGGCCGCACGGAGCCCCTCCCAGGGTATGCAGGTGCTGCGCCGTGGCCCTGGCTCCTCTTTGAAAAACAATCACGCAATTTCATCTGCTGCGGCCACGTGCCGTCCTAGGGCCTGACAGACTCGTCCTCCCTCATCGCTCTTTCCAGTCAGAGCGTGGGCACCTCGATGGCGTACCAGACGGTGCACTTCCTCAGTTCCTCGACACGCTGAGAACCACAGGGCGGGACGGGGCCCTCGGCCCTTACTACGGCCCCTCCATCTCCGTCATCCGTGGCCTGCGTGGGCTTCGGAAGATCTCACTATACAGACGTGATTGCACTGGGTCCGTTTCCAAACCTTGTTCTAATTATTGTGATAAAGACTTAAAAAAGATTTTATCTACCGAACATTCCTACGGAAATGCAGGCACGTGACTGAATTCTGTCTCTCTGGCCACAGGTAGGGATTATTGATTTAAGATAAGGATCCTCTCGGAGGTTAATTTCAGATTGGGAACAAGAGCAGATGCTTTGAGACACTCCAGACAGGACCAGCAGATGGTGTAATGGTTATGTCGCTGGACTCGCACGTAGTCGACCATGGTTCGAGTCCCAGACCAAGCAGCTTAAAAATCACACTGAGCATGTGTGCGTGCGTGAAAAATCCCGAGAAGAAAACGGACTGTGGTGTGGCTGTGCCCCCAGGGGTGATCTCTCACTTTCTATCTCTGTGTCTCTCTCTCCAGTGAGCACACGACCTGTTGCAGAAATCTCTCTTACAAACAAACAAACAAACAAACTCAAGCTATGCCAGATTCAGCTAGCGGACACCGTCTGCTTCTCTCCTGGGTGAGGACTGGACCTAGCAGCCCGAGTCGGCCAGGGCAGAACCGAGAGCCGTCGGAGCACTCACAACGATGGACGTCAGGTCCTCGCTTTCGAACCGCCCGATGGCCAGCTCCAGAGACTTGTACATGGCTGCCGAGACGCGCTGCGTGATCAGACGGTTCAGGTCGATGGACCTGCCAAGGAGCTGTCGGAGGAGGCGGCGAGGACATCAGGCCCACGGAGACACGAGAACCTCGCGAGCAACAGAAAGTGAACGGAGAAAAGGAAAGAAAGAGAAAAGGAAGGGACGAACCCAGAACCCCATTCGTAAAGATAAAGTAACACCTGTGTGTAGAAGGACGCGGTAGAAACGTAACCCCTTTAAGGAGCACACGTCGGCGTTGCCAAGTGGCCGCATTCCCCGGCGCAGCAGCTGCCACTCCCCCTCACGTGGGCATTGCACGGGACGCCAGCTCTCACGGGACACACGTGAGGAGTCCTGAGCTGCCAGGAAGCCCCGTCCCCACGCGGCTCCAGGGCTCCCTCACCTGCACGTGCCTCTGCTTGAGCAGCGTCTCGTAGCGGTTGGACGGCGGGAGGTGGATCGTGGCCCCCTGGTTCTTACATTCTGACCGTAGCCGCTTATCCAGGAGCAGACTGTACGGAAGGAAGGAGGGCGTCGCGCACGCGGCTGGTTGAACGGAGATGCCAGCCCAAAGAGCGGAGGCTTGGCGCGGGGCGCGTCCGCCAGGGACTCACCTCCCCGCCATGACCTTGTAGTACGCAAATATCTGGTCGGCCAGCTTATAGACAAACTGGTCAAAACACAGGTTCACCTGCAGGAGAAGGGGGACGCCTCAGACAAGAGCACGGGAACAGCGGAAGCCAGGGCTCTGACTAGGAAACGGGACCAGACCCAGCGGCCCTGTCCAGGGACACAGGTGGATGCCCCGCCCTGACGCCAGCCACCGTGTTGGGAGAGCAAAGGTCCACAATGCCTCCCGCGCACGGGCATGTGGGACCGTCCCCACCCTGTCCCGGGGGCTGCCCGCCTTCGAGCCGCCTGGGCTAACCCCAAGACCCACACCCTGTTTTACAGATGGGGCTGGTGCCAGGCCCTGAACTGCAACCGCACAGACACGAGGGCTGTGGCTGCTGGGCCCAGGGTATGGGTGCCAGGCAGACAGAGCCAGGAGGGGCATGTGGTGCTGGCCCATGACCCGACTCCACCACAGCACCGCTAAGTGGACCTCGCCCATGACCCGACTCCACCACAGCACCGCTTCCAGGTGGTCGTCCCGAGGGGCGGATGGGCCTGGGCGCACGGAGCAGCGCGTGGACCCTGCGCCTTCACCTGAGCTAGCGACGGGCTGTGTCCCTGCTGACCCGCGCCACCCGAGACAGCCTCGAGAAACACCAGGAGGCGTGCACACGCCACACGCGCCTCGCTGCCTACCCAGCCCTGGGTCTTAGCGGCCGTGCGTCCCTAACTGCACTGAGAAGACTGGGAGAGACGGCAGCGAGGGGCCGGGGTGGGCCTCACCTCCGCCTCGATCTCGTCGTACAGAAACTGCTTGTTGAACTTGGTGAGCGCGTAGTGGGCACTGTCGTTGTACAGGTCCAGGGAGTACAGGACATACCTGCGGGGGCGGAGGGCCGCGTCACTCCCGTCCCCGCCACGCATGTGCAGCCGCACGGCACCCCATTTCTCGGGAAGCCTCCCTTGCCCGGGAGGCGGATTGCTGTCTGTATCCATGGCTGAACTGTGGTCTTGCCCAGAACCCTGCAGCTGTGTCTGAGGGGACCCGGCACCCCACCAGGGGACCAGGCAGGGACAGAGAGGCACCACACAAGGCCACACGGTGCCCCTCGGCTGTGTCTGCTCACTTAATCAAGCCTTAAAGCCTTCACCACCAGTATGTGCGCAAGGCCTTCTGAGAGCTCACGTAACACGGAGACACTGCACGGGGTTAGAAATGTCTCTGTGCCAGAACTAACTCACACTTTAAATCCCATTCATTTGTGAACTTTCTGAAGTCCCCTCATATTTTGTTTTTAAAACAACAGTGAGTGGGACCAGGAGTTAGCGTAATGGCTATGTCGCTGAACTCCCATGTAGTCAACTGTGGTTCGCATCCCGGACACGGTGGCTTAAAACTCACATGGGGCGCGTGTGCATGCGTGCCCAAGATCCCGAGAGGAGAATGGAAAAGGGATTGCGGCGTGACCATCCCCCCGGGGGTGATTTCTCACTTTCTGTCTCTCTCTCTCTGTCTGGCGAGAGCACGCGCCCTATAGCAAAACCTCTCAAAACAAAACAAAACGAGAGTAAGTCACAGGTTGAGTATTCCTTATTCAAAATGCCTGGCACCAGAAATGTTTCAGAATTTGAGGCCGGCGGGTGGCGTGGTGGTTAAGGGCACTGGACGCTCACATAGCTGACCGTGGTTTGAGTCCCGGACCTGGCGGCTTGCTTTCTCACTCTCTTTCTCACTTTGTCCCTCTCTGTTCAAATTAAAAATAAATAAATAAAGTCAAATAAAACAATTCAAAAAAGGATGAAGGTTCCAGACCCTTGGTGGACAGGCACACCCCGTGCTGGGTCTGAGCTGGAACCCGTTCCCCCTGTGTCTGCACACGGGGCACAGACAGCACTGCTCCCCCGGCAGGAGGAGGCCCCAGGTGAGGGCCAGCTCCTCACCGCAGCCCTAACTCACTGGAAGCGGCTGTGGGAAGGCGACCCTCCTGACCATCGCCCGGGCGCTACGAGTGGCCGTGAAGACTGACACCAGCAAGCTGCCTGGGGGTCAGTCCTCACATGCTTGCAAGACACCCCCTTTCACTGCGTTCCCTTCGTGGACTTCCTGTTCTCAAAGGTCGACCTGAGCCCTGGCCCAATGCCGGCCCCAGACAAAGCCGTATAATCAATGGTCCTCCCCAAGGGGGGTCAAAGGTTGCACCGACAGGGCCCTCCAGCCCTTCACACTCGGGTGCAGCCGCCGCGCTTCAGGCAGCCACGCCCTGCAGGCCAGGCTCATGGGACGTCCTGCCAGGGCCACCCGCCAGCACGTGAGGGCGCAACCTCACGGCTCTTCTGCTCAACCTCCTGATTTCTGCCTGAAGCCAAGACGCAGGTGCTGGTAGGAGCCCGGCAGCTTCACCCCAGGAGCACGAGCTCAAAGCAACCTGAACACAGCCTGGCCACCTCCCAGCCCCCAAGCCCCGCGAGGGCCGTGGCCACCAGCCTGGACACTCACTCCATCATGGACGCCTCCTTGGTCTCCAGGATGTGGTCGGTCAGGATCCAGGGCATGGACATCTCGATGGGGAACTGGATGCGCCTGCCCATGGTCAGCTCCAAGAAGAACTCGCGGAACCACAGCTGCGAGAGGTCACAGCACTGCTGCAGCGTTTCTGGGGTCAGAGACAGCGCGTCACCCGGGCAGGCCACAGTGGCCGGCCTCCCTGGGCCCAGCCTCGGGCCAGACATGTGGACGGGAGTGGGCGGGGCTAAAGGCCAGCAGGGAGGGGCTGCAGGAACGGCCACGGGGCTCTCATGGACCCTGGGAGGCCCTGGGTGGGATCGGGAATGCCCTCGTCACAAGCAAGAAACAGGGATATCGTCGGTCTTGGTCAGGGACAAGCTCCAGCCCAGGACCCTGCGCTCCACGCACAGCCCGGGAGGCCTACCCGTGCAGAGGTTCAGGCAGATTATTAAAAACCCGTCTCTGCCTCTCAGGGTGCAGCTGACGACAGAAGTGCTACCACTTGTGCTGACACCTATAGCTTTGCAGCCGGCCGGCTGCCTCTCTGGAGAGGTGCGGCCAGCCCGGGGACAGGCCACCGCGGAGAGGCCAGGAACAGCGCGGGGCAGAGTGCGCCCACGGGGGGCCGGGCGAGGAGCCTGGATGTCGCCAGGACAGAAGCCAGTCCCGGCACGCACAGCCCGGTCTCTACCCAGGCGACGAGACAGTCTCCTGTGAGCCTGATGATCCCAGGGGATCGAGGCTGTGTTCACACGGCCAGGCCAGCCACGGCCCTCACCCTCCTAAGGGCCACACCCCACCGGGGGCGGCCGAGGCCAGGGAGCCACGGAATGCCACAACCGCACAGGTCAGGCCGCGTCCCTGCCTGGGAGCACGAGGGTCGGAGGGGACGGGTGGGCCGAGGCGCTGGACAGCGCCTGTCGGAGCATGCCAGGCCGGCGCCCGCGAGCGTCTCTTACCACTGAAATTGATCAAGTGCGTGTAGAAGAAGGACTGGCGGTGGAACTTTTCTATGTCCAGTATGGCAGGCCCCTTAAGGCTACTTCTCAGGGTTTTCTTGGAACCACTTTTGTCCGCAATGAGGGACTCCAGCATGGTTCTCACCATGTACAGCTGGGTTACCGAGGAGGCGTCTGTGGGGGAAACACCCACAGCGGTGCGTTAGTGCCGGCGCCCTCACAGCACGGAGGGGGACGGCTCCGGCTCCGGCTCCGGCTCCTCCGCGCCCTGCACGACGAGAACAACAAACGAGGTCTTACCACCGAAGGTTAAAAGGGGTGGGTAGGCGTAGGACTGCCGCAGAAACACGTTAACCACATGCAAGAGCCTTTCCAGGCCCAGGGCCCTGAGCTGCCGCAGCAGCTCAGCCGAGCTCAGGGACTCGGCCATGGTGCGCACCAGGAAGAGCTAGACACGACAGACAGGGAGAGGCGGGAGAGAGCGTTAGTCACACACGCCACGCACACGGCAGCGGGGCACGGGCCAGCTGGGAGGGCCAGCCCCCACGGCCAGCGCCGTCCTGCTCGGAGAGGTTTCGCAAGGGCCAGCGTCATGCTTCGCTGGAGGGCAGAGCTCAGGGACTCGGCCATGGTGCGCACCAGGAAGAGCTAGACACGACAGACAGGGAGAGGCGGGAGAGAGCGTTAGTCACACACGCCACGCACACGGCAGCGGGGCACGGGCCAGCTGGGAGGGCCAGCCCCCACGGCCAGCGCCGTCCTGCTCGGAGAGGTTTCGCAAGGGCCAGCGTCATGCTTCGCTGGAGCGGAGACGGACAGGAGAGGGTCCCCGCGTCCACCCCGGAGGGGAGTGAGAACCAGGTCCCTGCGGAAGCGCAGTGACTCGACCAGACATGCGAGGCAGGGGACGCAGCGCCAGGGCAGGCCTGGCCATGCCAAGAGAGGCCTGCCGTGGGGCGTGGGAGCGTGACACAGGACACAGTGCCCCACGGCCTCCCCACATGTTCCCAGACCTGCAGACCACGTGACAGCACACATTCACACACCCAGCGAGAAGCATGACTTATACACGTGTGCACAGACATGTACCCGTGTGTTAGGAACAGGGGTGGAACTGCACTGAGATGCCCCGCTGAAGCCAAGTAACCAGGCAGAGGGCCCCGGGCAATGACCGGGCGCGGAGCGGGGAGCAGAGGCGGTGCCCACTCTGCCTGAGGGACCTAGGGGCCGTCCCACCCCCGCCACCCTGCTCGGGACCAGCCACCCTGGCCCAGGGTGGGGACCACCTGTGTGCTGGAGGGCCCCACGGCACGCCGAGGCACTTTGATGTCAAAGCCACTCTTGGGGTCCTTCTCGCCACGCAGTGCCGGGTCGTTGAAGGGCTCGTGCCCGGTCTCCCAGTCACACACGGTCTTCCTGATGGCCTGCAGGACGCTGAAGGACCAGGTTAACAGTGAGGCGGGAGCCTGAGCCCTCAGGGACTTCCACAGCCGCGGCATCTTCTCACCAGAGAGGCCCTCAGAACAGCAACGCACACACGTGACCCCTCCGGGGGTGGCGGGGACTGGTGACGACAACGTGTTTCCTCGAGAGCGTGGCTGCTCCCAGAGGGCTGAGCTCATCGGGCAGGCCGGCCATGGAGCTCCACTTCTGGACACCGGCAAAGTGGCCCGAGTCGTGCAAGGACAGGCCACAAGTGCCGGCCCAGACAGCGGAGCCCACCAGCCACAGCCGCCAGCCCCTATGAAATCACCCAAGCCACTGAGGACC